CATCCCAAACATTAAGTACATAATCAGCATAATTAAATGTTTTTATATTAAAACCAAGTGTTGGTGCAACAGAATCAATTTCTTCACCATTAATCCTCGATAAAATAGTCGATTTTCCTGCATTATCAAGTCCAACAAGTAGTAAACGCATTTCTTTTTCTTTTCGACGTAATTTTTTCAATATGCTCAATAGTACCATTTTCTTGTCTAGTTAATGTAATTGATCTACAGTCACATACACACAGGTAAAGAAAAACCGAAATAAAGGATAATATTTCTTTTTTTTCCGCAAAAGAAAAAAAAAGGAAAAAAAATCCTGACAAACACACAAATAAAATCTTGTTTGAAAGAGAATAAAAAGAACAATAAAAAGATAGACAGAGAGAGATCGAATTACTGCCAATATTTTGATGGATGGAAGATAGAAGCCCTTCAATATCTAGAAAACAAAAACATAACATAATAGAATTTATAATAATTATTATCTAATTTGAACCTGTAATAATTTGGCTTAAATGGTCCAGCTTTATTAATACCCAAATATTTGCACTGTTCATCAGTTAATTCTGTTAAATGAGCATCGAATGCAGGTAAATGAAGACTTGCTACATATTCATCTATAAAAAAAAATAATTGCATGAATCTCTAAAAAAATCAAATAAGAGAAAAAAAAAGTCATACCCATTTTTTTCGGTAATAAATAAACATCACATTTGTATCGATTTGGTGGAGCATTATAAAGTTCAATCAAAGCTAATGCCTAGAAAATTTTTTTTGTTAATATTTTATTTTAATATAGAATAATTTATTTTTCATGATACTTGTGTAGCAGCTGTAATTGAAACAACAAATGATGGTACACTTGAACAACATAAATTCATAATTCGACCCTAAAATGAATAGAAAATTTAAAATCAAATCATTATTCTTGAAAAAAAAAAGCAGAAATTATTATTTGTACCTCAGCCAGTAGTACAATTCGTTTACCATTAGGCCAAATAACATGATCAACATTCGTTCGAACACGTTCAACTTGTAAATCACTTTGTGATGCTTCACGTAAAAAGCTCTTAAATAATAAAAAACAAAAACATTTAATAAAATAAACTGATCAATAATTTTCTATTTAAAATACATACAACATCAATTTCTGTATTTGAATGTCCCATATTACAAAGAATGGCACCATTTTTAAGTTTATCTAAGAATTCTCTTGTTATTGTATTTTTACTTCCAGATGCTGTAACAACAATGTCAACTTGTTTAATAACTTCTTCAAGACGAACAACTTTATATCCTTCCATACTAATAAATCAAAACATAAATCATAGAAAAAAAAATATTTATTTGAAATTTATTAATTGATATACCATGCTTGTAATGCGCATATGGGATCGACTTCTGTTACATAAACAAAACAACCCATACCGCGTAATGCCGAACAACAGCCTTTGCCAACTTCACCTAAGAACAAAAATAAACAAGTAATTGACTCCAATCATAGATAAACTGTAATATATATATATATATCTCGATAACAAATATTGATCAATTCTTAACAAACGTTGTCTGATTGTGTCAATCAGTATTTTTTTTGTATATTTATAAGAAAAATATTTTATTGTTTATTTTTGTTTGTTAACTTCTGTTTTAATTAAGTTATATAGTCGATTTTTTCTAGATTATAGAAAAATTTTAATCGAACATATTAACGCAAAATGAATCAATTTGTTTCGATGTCGAGGAGTTCATTGACTCTTGTCTTAGAACTGGTGCATTGTTTATTATGTCAAATAAAAGTCAACTGATAGTTGTTAGGACTGAATAACAAGAAAGTTTAAGATGAATAGCTTTTACTATAAATGAGAAGATGTAATAAAACTAGTTTAGACTACTTTTTTTTTTAATTTTCTAATAACTTAATTTTATAAAAATGACAAAACAAATGTTATTTTCAAGGGCGTTTTGATCAAAAAGTATCATATTGCACATTTTTTCTTTTACAAACAAACCACATTTTCGTTTCTGCACAAATCGATGAGAACAATAAATAAATACTAACATTACTCAATTATGACTGAATCAACTCAGAATGTCACATCTATCATCTACTAATGATAAAAAAGAATTTAGTTCTTTATTATTACACTTAAAAAAAGAAAGAAAGATTAAACTCATCATCAACAACAAAAGAAATTACAAAAATTTTGTTCTTCAATCTAAAAATCTACATTGTTACATAACGAGAAATGTTTTAAGAGGCATAAAACTTTGAAGAGAAAAAAAGATAAATAATGCATCAAGATTAAATGAGATTATGTTGTTATAGATTTTCATTTATAGTAAAAGCTCTAGACGACAGTCTGTCGAGTCCAAAATTTTCAGAGTCAGATCTAATTTACTGAACGTTTTCAAGATCTTGACCTGATCGAACCGTACTTCGATATCCTCAATGAAATTTTCTACTCAAAATTGAATAGTTGTCTCGAAGATACGAGATACCTTTTTTTATCCAATGATTAGCACGTCATACACATTGTTCAGACGACTAGAGTCCATCGAGTTATAAATTTTTAGATCCGTATTCGACCAGCTCTACTATAGATCTCAAACTTTGTACCTATTTTGTACTAAGTACAATCATTTTTGAGAGTTTTTAGAAATTTTGTTTTTTGTTGAATTTGAGAACAATAGGTTTTGAAATTGTTTTCAACCTTCAGGAGTATTCTTTCAACGAAAACAAAAAATAATTTCTATTCTTCTTTTTTTCTAAATTTTTCATACGAACTCAACTAAAAAAAAAATTTTCTGCTAACGAATTCTTCTTATTATTTAAAATTATATAAAAAACAAACCAACCATATCCACAAACAACAACTTGTTTTCCACCGAACATAATATCGGTACAACGTTTAATAGCATCAATGATTGATTCTCGGCATAAATATAAATTGTCAAATTTTGTTTTTGTAACACTATCATTAACATTCATAGCTGGTACAGTTAATGCTTGTGTACGACACATTTGATATAAACGATGAACACCAGTAACAGATTCTTCAACAATACCTTTTATTGTTGAAAATAATGTTGTATAATGTTTATGACAGAAATGTGTTAAATCTCCTCCATCATCTAATATCATATTTGGTTGCCAACCTTGATCACCACCAATAGCTTTTTTAATACACCACCAAAAATCATCATCATTTTCACCTTTCCATGCAAATATTGGAATTGATGCTTCAGCAAGTGCAGCAGCAACTTCATTCTAAATATAAAATATTCAAGAACTTTTACAAAAAAAAAAAAAAAATAATTTATTTATTAATATTTACTTGAGTCGAGAATATATTACAAGCACACCATCGTACTTGTGCTCCCAAACGAATTAATGTTTCAATTAAAACCTGTTTGTTTTTTTATTTTTATTAAAATTAAATTAAATAATAAAAAAAAAACAAGGATTAATACTTACAGCTGTTTGAGCTGTTATATGAGTGCAACCAACAATTTTAGCTCCTTGTAGTGGTTTATCGCCTTCAGCTCGACGACGTAATGCCATAAGACCCGGCATTTCTATAAATAGAAGAGAAATTATACAAAATTTTTATTCGTACTTAAATATTCTCAAGATATTTTTTTCCTACGGAAGTCATCAAAACTTTTTCTTCTATTGATTACATTATTTCAGATGAGAAATGTTTTCTTAGCCTTGACTTCTTATTATTTTTCCCAATTCTATTTATTACATAATAAAATTTGACAAATTTATTATATGCATATTAGAAAAAAAAGAGAAAAAAAAAAGCATTTTTCATCAATATAAAGGATGATGATGTATTTTTCTAATAAATAGCATTCTTTCTATAAGAATTACAAGAGTTTGATAAACAGAAATATATATTAGTTGATAATAAAAGAAAAATTTCAAATAAGCAATAAATAATAATTTTTATTTTATATAGAATTATTAAATAGACAAACCTTGTTCAGCAATTTCAATTTCACGTCGACCATATGGTGCATGTTTTATTCGTCGAACAGCAAAATCATTGAAACCAGATGAATTTTTCTGTATAGATTAAAAGAAAATAAAAATCAAAAGGGTAGAAGATGAATTATATTATGCATATAATCAAAACTGACATGTTGCATTTCTCGTATATCAGTGCCAGCACCATCTTCAACATCGCTATCGCTATCACTGGCAGTTGCTGCAAATAAAAAACAAAACAAAAAAATAAAAATCATCCAATAGAAATAAACATATTCTGTTGGTGTATTTTGTATTGAATAAAATATCACTGATTATTAGTATTATTATTATTATTACTATGCGTTTTTTTTTGTCTTTTTTCATTAGGGACTTTCTATTTTTTGATTATGAATCCTCACACTCTGGTTTTTGATTATCTACATATGTAGATTCATATTCATCAGTGGAGCTAATTGATGGTAAACGTGTTCGTTGTTGAGTAAGTGTTGGTTGTTTTTCAAGACCAGATGAACGTCTTCGTATAAGATTTTTATCAATAAATTGTACAGATGGACGACGATTACGACGACATCGAGCTTTTTCAAGATCTGATATAGCTTCAACATCAGCATCATACTGTGTAGTTGACATATTTGCTCAATCGAGAGAAATAAAACGTAGTCAAAGGAGAAGAAAAACGACCGCTGAGAAGACAAAATACGATAATAACACAACTATATAGGCACAAACAGAGACCGATCGAATGGAGGAAATGAAGAAAACGACTATGATGAAAAGAGGTGTTTGTGTTTTTTATATATATATATATGTCGTTTTCTCTGTGTTTGGTAGAAAGACAAGAATGAGAAACAACAAATGATACGAGAATATAATTTTCTTCGTACATCTTTTTCCTTGGTCTTTTTTTTCTTTTTCCTTAGAATTTTTTCCTATTCTTCTTCTTCTTCTTCTTCTTTTTTCTTCTTTTCTTTTTTCTCTAATGCATTTAAAGACATGATGATTATGAGAAAAAGAACTGAATGGAGAGAAAATAAGCTAACTCGAACTCACACTCAGCTTCTGAGACACTCGCCGCAGCATTAGAATCATCATCTGCTGTTACTGTTGATGTTACTGGGCTTGCAAATGATTGAATAAGCTTTTTATCAAGAAATTGAACTGATGAACGTCGGCAAGATCGATATTGTGCTTGATCCGATGCATAACCAGGAGTATTGTTTACAATAATTGGTTCGACAATATCAATTGCTTCATTTGTATCATTAGGATTCTGAGCAGTAGTATCATTACTATTTTCAGATGGAAGTGTTCGACGATATGCTGATACTGCTGCAGGATTTGAATTTTGTGAACGTTGTTGTCTACTATGGGAATGAGATGAGAATATACGTTTTAACGGCATATATTTGTAGGTAGAATTTTGATGTCGATGACAGAGTGAAGAAAAAACGGGGCAAATAAATAGTGTGCAGTGCTTGCAAAAGCAAATTTTTCTTTTTTTTTTTTTGTTGGTGTAGGAACAACAAAAATAACAACAACAAGAATAACAACACAAACAAAAGTTCTTTTTCGTTCTTTATCTCAATGCTATTCTTCTTTACACTCTTCCGAGTGGGTGAATGAATCAATAATAATTCCGATTTTCTTTTACTCACAGACTAATGTACTTATACGTCCTTTTTTTCTGTTTTTTTTATGCCCTTCGTATTAACTATAAATACGTATTTATATGGTAATAACAACTTTTACGTAGTTAATGTGTAAATAGACATAGAAAAAAAAGAGGTATTTTTTTTTTCTTGTGCCAATATTTAAACAAAGCATGAATAGCTGATAACCATTAGTTCATATTGATTTCAAACTTGATTGCTTGATAATTACTACGATTTAAAAAATTACTTACACACACGTTTAGAGATTTGTGTTGGTTGTTCAACATTTGAAAAACGTCTCTCAATAATATTTGAATTAGCACGAGAACGATAATTATATGATGTTTGAAAATCAACAGTTAATTCATTCGGATTTATTTGTCGTTTTAATGGATGATACATTGTTATTACTTTTTTATGATCGACATTAACTAATGAAGTCGAATAGATGCCAGGTACAGGTTTCGCTGAAACGTTTTTATCCATAAGAATATATTCCAGAATCAAATAAAAACCATGTACTAATACTTATAATGATCTGATCGTAAACAACAACCATCACACGAACATTGGAATGAATGACATTCAACAGTAGCAATGTGTATTACTCTCATCTCGCTTCACACTTTGCTTTTTATCTTTCAGCATTCTAACCAAAAAAAATATATAAACGCCTACCATGGCATTATCTTTCTCTTTCATTCTATTGCAACTATATATATACATGTGTGTAAAAAGAACAATGAGATGATTTATGATGCGCTTAACAAAAAAAAACTATGCGTTCTGGAATTTTTCATACACCTATTAAATTTTGTCTATGTTACATTTATTAGATGACTTACTGCCTTCAGATAAGACCGAACTTTGTGAATATGAATATTGTCGTCGTGTTGTTGGATCGAGACAAATACGATGCTAGAACAAATCAAAATAAAGAAATTCAATAATTTATTCACAAATGTTTTGAAAAAGAACAAAGGTATGAAAAAGTAATTGATTGAATATTAAAAAAAAGAAAAGAAAAGAAAACATAACTAGACTTCTTATACTCATAAAAATCTCAAAACATTTTCGATTACAAAATAAAGCTCATGGTAAATTTATAATTGATCGAGAATTTTTCGAATGAATTCAATTCGAGCTATCAAAAAAATAGTTTTTAAGTCAATGAAAAACCAATGAGCTAAATGGATGATAATTTTTTACTGCATAAAAGTTATGATTTTACGATTCTTTTTCATAGAGTAAGATCATATGATGCTTCTTCAAATATATAAACTCTACACAAAGTAAAACGTGCGAAATTCCTTCCGTATGCAAATAAAATTAATTGCTCGAAACTTAAATGTACGCATCAGAATTAAAAAGAATTGACTGTAGCTTTAACAATTCGATAACGGTGAGAACTATTTTCAGCCATTGAAAGAGAAGAACTCTGAGCCTTTGCCTTGTCTGATATTTTACATGATTAAATAATGTTAAAACCAATTGTCTTCACAAAACATTCAGAAAAAATGCATAACGCCAGTGTTCTATTTCGATGTTATTTTAATCTTGACATATACTTCAGATCTACAGTGCAAAGGACAATTTAGCTGATTATCTTCTTATAAGGATGTAAAATAAAAAAAATTCGGTCATGCTTAAACTGACTTCATCGGCTCCTATAAAAAACTATATTCTTTTTATCAGTTACTATATTTCATAGCGCTGAGTAGGACGACATAGTGTGGATGCAGGTGTCCGACTGAGTGTGGGTGTGGGTGTGGGTGTGAGTATGGGTGTAGGTGTGGGTGGGTGTGGGGTGTAGGGTGTGGGTGGGGGTGGGGGGGGGGGGGGGGGGGGATGTGGGTGTCTGACTGAGCGTGGGTGTGGGCGGTCGTAGTTATG